GTATTTGCGTGGAGGATTGGGTATGAAAGTGGCTACGACTCCACCTTGGCTCCAAACCATCTTCGTACGTAAAAAAATTACTAATCAACTCCTAGTGGAACAATCATACTTCAGTTCTCAATAGTTATCTTGTTTCATATACAGTTATATCCAGTTCAGGATCGTTTTCGGTCATTCACACTCCTAAATTTATTGGAGATGGAGCGCTTGATTCAGTATAGGCTGATTATATGATAGTAGATGTCCCACTGTCCTCCTTCCCTATCTTAAAATACTTACAGATGCATCTAAGGCAAGCCTCACGTAGCTCTTCTACAGAATAACACAAGAAGGATCCAAAACATTACAACTGACAATAGTGAGGCGGTAATTATTGAGGGACCTCAGCGGCAAGTCTTTGGAGCAAGCGGGGAACCATCTTGGGGAGAGATGGAAATCGTGCGAGGTCTGGAAATCCGATGGACCTCGTTCAAAAAATTATCATTTGTTTTCGCGTTCCCCTGCCCACTTTAATTGTCTTCGTGAACTACCTAAAATATAGCTTACATGTCCACAAGTCTCAAAACTTGAGGACGCACGCGCAGGAAGATCAAACACATTACTGACAAGGGAATGCTTTTTACTCGAAGTGGCCATTCAAAACAAGATATATTCCATAATAACAAGTTGGGTATGGGAAGCTCAAATCTGTCTTAAATCTGCGAAACGGTTTTTGGAAGAAGATATGGGCACTTGTTTCCATGAGGCCACTGTAATAAGGGTACCCTGTGCAATCTTCTTAGTGCTAGGGTGGCGCAATGGTAAGTGTCTTGGTTTGCAGGTGTGCGATGTAGGTTTTAGTCCTGTTGTCGGCGAACATTTTACGTTTTTTGCAATTACTTGTTATTGCTAGAGAAAGCTTTATTAACTTGTTGATTTACTGTCCAAAGTTAAGCTAAACCAACGATCAGATGTTAATTTGAAATTATTTACCCCATGATCACATGTGATAGTAGTCTATAAAGAGTAACATAATAGCTGTTTGCAGCCAGCGCATCGAAGGAGATGCTCTCCGTCGCAATTGTTTGCAC